GTACTTAATAAAGGAATATTTATTATGAGCAAAAAAAATATTTGCAGTGCATACATATGAAAAGTGAATTAAATAAATAATTTACACCAACAACAGTTAAAAAATTTGAATTCAACAGTAACAGAAAATCATAATTACTCATTTAGCTTTTACAATAATGGTATCTCATTGAAAATAATTAGAGAAGACTGACTGTTATGCTTTCTATGGATTTGAAGTGGAACTCAACTGCAGAAATAAAGTTAGGAAAACCTTTTAGGTTTTTTTATATTAATAATTAGGAAAGAAAGATTAGTTCTTCAATAAGGTTTTATTTAGAAGATTGTTGGGAACAATTCTTATTATTTGAAGAATACAATATGAATATAATTTGATGAGATGAATTCAATGAGAAGGGTTCCTGTAGTCTTAAGGAACACAATATGTAGAAAGTTTGAAGAGTAGAGTTCCTGTAGCTTTAAGGGAACAACATGATGATAGTTTGAGAGAAGAGTTCCTGTAGCTTTAAGGAATACAATATAGATATAGTTAGATGAGAAAAGTTCCTGTAGCTTTAAGGAACGAGACATGCAGATAAAGTTATATGATGAGTTCCTGTAGCTTTAAGGAATACAATATGAAGATAGTTTGATGAGGAGAGTTCCTATTGCTTTAAGGAATACAATATGAAGACAATTCGATGAAGTGAGTTCCTTAAGGTTTAAGGAATGAAGGTAATTTGATGAGATGAGTTCCTGCAGCTTTAAGGAGTACAATATGAAGGTAGTAGGTGAGATGAATTCCTGTAGCTTTAAGGAATGAAGACAGTTTGATGAAATAAGTTCCTGCAGCTTAAGGAATGAATATAGTTTGATGATATGAGTTCCTGCAGCTTTTAATGAATACAAAGTGAAGATAGTAGATGAGATGAGTTCATGTATGGAATATAATGATAGCTTTCCGATGAATAGAACTCAGGAGGCATGAAGATAAATAGAGGTGTTAGTAGTAAGGAATTAATCCAATTTATAACGTGCCATTACTTGGAGGCTTTACGAATCCAGAAAGGTCCAAAAGTAATCCGAAGTCAAAGCGTTGGAGAAAGGAGGTCAGTGGTATAAACAGTCCTGGTTCGGTACACGTGTAATTAGTATAATGAGAGATTGCTTGTAGCCAGTCTGAAGATAGGAAGCTTCAAAATAACCAAGCCCTTTGAATCTGGTGCGGTTCCTCTAAGTTGCGTGAGGAAGCCGCGTCAGAGAAGGGGGTATGTCATTGGTCCGTGAACCCGGAAGTGTCGGATATAGGAGAAGCCGATAGTTAAGTTCTGACACTGACATTTCACCCATATTAGATTTTACTCCCTTGGCAACCACACTTGTCATAAATATGCCATGGACTTTATACCCTCTTGCCCCATCTCAGTTGTCCAAGCTAAAGGAGGTACAAGGCAGATTCATGGCAAAGTTGAAGACTTTGATTACACCTCCCTCTCACCTATTTCTTTTCATTTGTGATATAGTCCCAATTTATCCATTCCAGAAACATCTCACAAAGCCTGTCTCTGACCTAAAATAATAGATTTCTCCATTTTATCTAAATGGATTAAGTTACACTAGTTATGTTTAGACTTACTTTGTACTGCAAGCTTTCACAATTCTGAATATTTATTTTTATTATATTTATTATTATTCACCACTGGATTAATATTATTGGGTTTTTTCGACCCTTAGCAAAAAATTGTCTGACTGCTAATTGTTGATTAAAATATGAAAAGGGCCTTGTCTGCTTAGCAAGAACAGCACAAATGTGTGGACCCAGCAAGTCTGTGAATGAATAAACATGATTATCCTATGGGTGTAAATTATGATACCTGGCTACAAAAGAATGTTTGCTTAGCAGGAAGGGACCTGCTCTAAAACCTTGGCTTGCTGTGTCAACAAGTGTCTGATATTTCTAGCTAAACACAGCCAAATGAACACTTCCATTGCTGCAATCAGCCATACTGTGTCTACTAGCTAATCATTTCATGTATACACTACGCACAGCGCATTTAATAACAATATCTGTAATAATTAACTATGCTTTTGAAACATGACAGTGAGTTCTAGAAACCTTATACTTGATACATTGCTGAGGTCTCCCCTATTTTATATATTAGATCAGCTCCACTCTTAGGATTTGTGGGGTCTAGTGCAAGAGATATTTCTTTCCCCACTGACATACTTGTTCCCCGGTGGCTGCGCAGAAACAGAAAGTGGGTTCAGCTAGCAGGTGACGTCGCCTACACACCTCTTTGTCTGGGCAAACCAGTTAATAGCATTCTCAGTATATTATTCTAATTCAGATGGACATATTAGCAAAGAAAATCGCTTGACAGTACTATCCAAGGGGATTGGTACTAATAATCTCTGTGACAGTCAACTACTGCAATGAGCTGTGGTGGTTATAGTGCTTTGAGTGATCCTTAAAATTCTTAATAATACAAATATTTGAGATATTTGGTTGTAACACTAATAAATGCATAAGTGGAAATATTTATTTCCATAAATAAAAATAATATTTTGTTTATAAATATAAAGCATTCATTCAGGAGGCCATGTTTTGGAGACCAAAATTACCCTATTAATTGCTTATGGTTTATATAAAAGGATGCTGAAAATATATGTAAAATAGTCTTCAAATTTTAAATAATGGAAACAAATATTAATTATCAAATGTGCTGATGTTGCAGATAGTATAATAAATTAAAGGTTAACCATGCAAATGAAAAAGGCATTTGGAAATTTTATATATTCTAAGTTTAGACCAAGTCATAAAATTATCATTACATCTCACAGACAGCAATTAAGAAAAGAGAATTATTATGAAAATATACTTTCTGTCCAGAGATCTATTACATAGACTTAATATCCCAATAAAGGGTAGATGATAGTGAGAAGTTAATTAATTTTAATAACCAGGGATGAAAAATAACTTAATTATGGAACCTTAAGTCTTACCCAATTACAATGAATCAATGAAAATGTTCCTGGGTTTATATATTTTTTTGTTCTTTGGATATTTGCATTAACTGTAAAATCTCAGAATTAGATATAAATGATTATCATATGTTATACTATAATGTGTCTATTCCTTTGAATTTTTGCAAAAACATAAGATTCACAGACATCATGGTGTAACAGCTTCTTGATCCAAGGAGATATATGACTCATATTCTGAAGTTTCTAATTAATCATTTCCTACTTTGTTGCAAAATTGGAAAGTGCTTCAAACTGGGTTTTTGACTTCTTTTGGATCAACAGCAAAATCAGATGTAAAAAAGGCTGAACTTGATAGACACAAGTCTTTTTTTCAGCCTATATAACTATGTGAATATGCATTTGCCTGTATATTTTGGTAATCTCAATTATGCATTTCAAGGGTATTAAAGTGAAAATATCATGTTGCAGTTTTTCATAACGAAAGAACGATAATGAAAAGGTATTACCTTGGCTTATGAATACATTGCAAAAAGGAAAACAAGGTAATTTATATAAAAATGTAAGCCTTGTGGCTGACTGACTTATATTGCTTTTTGTGGAGATCCAGGAAGCTCCATCTTCCAGGAGCTAAAAAAAAAGAAAGATGGTGAGCACTTTAAGTGAGCACTTTTAATGAGCACTTCCCTCTCTTCTTCTCTCCTCTTCTATTCCCATGATGCTCTACATCAGTAATACTCAGACTGGTCCCTACCGCACACTAGAGAGAGGTTTGGGATTTTAGGTGGGTGGTGGTGGGTTCTGCAGAAAACGCCCGGTGGGTCTCGATGGCCGTAGGCCAAGGCCGGCAGGGGGGATCCTTTCATCTTCCCTGCCAGCCCATGCAGAGCCAGCCTTGCTGTAAGCCCTCTCGGGCTGGTGAGGATATCAAAGATTTTTCAGCAGAGGGAGGGAAGGGGCTGGGAGGCTCTGTGTTCCTCCCACGAGCAAGCTGGTCAAAGCATTGCCGCGTATTGCCATGGCAAAGTTCCGATAAAGTGCTGTGCTCGCAGGATTACAGGAGAGTCAGCCTGCAGCCAGCTGTAGGCTAAAGTGAACATGCCACCACTGGACCATCAGGGCTTGCAGCATTATGTCCCCCTCCCTGGTAAAAGGTAAGAAAAAGGGAGGAGGAGACATTAAGATAGATTTTCACATCTCACCCACAAACACACATCATAGACCTTATGCAGCCTTAACACATAAACACACACCACACCCCTCACACACACACACACAGACTGCCCCCTCACACACAATACACTCCTCACACACACACAGACTGCCCCCTCATACACACACCCAAAGACTGCCCCATCACTCACACTGCCCCCTCACACACACACACTGCCCTCCTCACACACACTGCAACCCTGTACACACACACACACACACACTGCCCCCTCACACACACACTGCCCCCCTGACACTCACTGCTCCCCTCACACACTGTTAAACCTGGAATGTAGGACACTGCCCTCTCACTTCCCTCTCACTTTAACTAGTGGCTCCACTCCTGTGATGACTCACAGGTCAGAGAGCATGGCAGCCATCTTGAGTCAGGGAGTGTGATGCAGTGCTGCACAGAGGATGTTTTACTCCTGTGTTCCTGTCAGTTATAATAAGACTGATTATACAGTAAATGTTCAGCAATAAAGCAAGGTTGTATGAAACTACTGGTCTCATATGTGAAGCAGTCCAGGAGCATAACAGTGGCCACAAGGATGGGATGTACAAAGGCCCTACCAAGCCTGCACTAGAAAATAAGTGGTAATCTCACACAGCCAGTCACAGAGCATCCAGCCAGGACATGGCATTGATAGGCACATTGCGTGAGTTTGATGGGGAGCAGAACTCCTGGAGCTCCTGGACTGAAAGATTAGAGCATTACTTCAGTACAAACACCATACCCCTTGAACGGCAGGTAGCTGTATTCCTGACACTGGTGGGAGCTAAACCATATGACACACAGAAGAGACCTTCTGTTCCCTGATAAACCAGCAAGCAAAACACTGGTGGAACTGCTAAAACTATTAGAGGATCATTTCCAGCCCAAACCACTGGAAATTGAGGAAAGATTCTGCTTTTACCAATGGCAGCAGCAATCAGGGGGAGATATTAAAGCATATGTGGTGGCCATTCACAAACTGGCCTTCACCTGTTCATTTGGAGAGTACCTACCCATAGCTCTGCGGGACAAGTTTGTGCTAGAACTGAACAGTGAAACCATTCAAAATAAACTTCTGACAGAGCAGACACTCACCCTTACACGGGCGATTGAGATTGCATCAGTCATGGAAATGGCTGTGAGGGATACTGCAGCATTGAACGCTCAGTTTTACAAAGAAGGGGTAAAAGAGGAGGTCTTCAGAGAAGCTGTCACACCAGCTACGGCCAACTGAAAATACAGATTCTCACCCCAGCACAAGCCAGCTTGCTACCAGTGTGGTAATACAGACCATGACTCCAAAACCTGTCGATTTAAAGACATCACTTGTCATCACTGCGGAAAAATGGGCCACCTCAGACAGATCTGTCGTTGTAGGAATGTACGGGAAAAACAATGGCAGTACACCAAGCAGAAAACATACAGGGTAGAGAATCCTACCTCTTCATCTGAGTCAGACAATGATGAACCATTGCACATATTAACTATATGTCGCCTACACTCTTCAAACCCTGCAATGACGGTAGAATTAACCATTAAAGGAAAGGCATTAAAGATGGATGTTGATACAGGAGCAGCAGTTTCAGTTATCACACAGAAACACTGGAGACAACTACATATACAGGAAACTATCCGCCCAACCCCAATCAAGTCCTCCACCCAGTTGGTTGTGCAAAGGTACAGGTATCATACAAGGGTCAGACAAAGAGACTACCAATGTATATTTTGAAACACGGAGGACCACGTCTCTTTGGTAGAGACTGGATTGCTCATCTGGGAATGCCAGACATCATCAAGAACCCTTGCAACAATCTTACAGTCCCATCTGGACAGATTGATGGATGGGATGGATGGGATGGATGGGTGGATTTCCTGGGGTTTTTAAGGATCAACTGGGGAAAATTAAAAATGACTGTGTGAAGCTCAAGCTAAAACCGGATGCCCATCCTAGATTCTTCAAGGCCCGGACAGTACCATTTGCCCTTTGAGCAGGAATGGAACCTGAACCCATCCAGCTAGAAGAATACTGTGTCATTTCCAAGGTTGAGCACAGTGAATAGGCATCACCTATTGTGCCACTAAAGAAATCAAATGGGGAATTATGCATCTGTGGAGATTTTCGCATGATACTGAATAGTCAACTGGATGTAGACCAGTATCCTCTACCCAGAGTAGATGACATCTCCGCCTCACTTGCTGGGGGACAGAAGTTCACTAAGATTGATCTTCGACAAGCCTACCTACAATTTCAGATCCCCAGTTCTTTCTGAAAATACCTCACCATCAACACTCACAAGGGCTTGTACGAATAAAACCAGATGGCGTTTGGCATAGCACCCGCACCAGCCATCTGGCAGAGGAAGATGTATGCAAGACATTCCCTTCACACAGTGTCTATTAGATGACATGCTCATCACTGGTCAAATGGACCAAGAACACAAACAGAATGTAGAACAGGTTTTACAAAGACTTCCGACCATAGTCTCAAGGTGAACTTGGCAAAATGCAAATTTATGCTGCCCAAATTGGAGTTTTGGGGCAACCTTGTAGATGCTGAGGGCATACACACCACTGAAGCCAAGGTCGATTCTCTAGTCAAAGCTCCAGCCCCAATAAATGTCCAACAACTACGATCCTACCTTGGCCTCCTCAACTACTATAATACATTTTTCCCAGACCTGGCTCACACCTTGTTCCCACTGCATAAGCTTTTAGAGAAACACTCCAAATGGGAGTGGTCAGCAAAATGCGAACAAGCTTTTGAGGTCTCCAAATGTAAACTATTGGGCTAACATATGCTTGTACACTACGACCTCCACAAGCCTCTCACATTGGCTTGCAACACCTCATATTATGGTCTGGGTGCCGTACTGAGAAACCAGTGGTTTTCGCCTCGAGATCATTGACAAAGACAGAAATCAACTAATCCCAGATTGATAAAAAGGCACTTGCATTGATATGGGCAATTCAGAAGTTTCCGCTTTACCTCTATGGTAGAGAGTTCACCATATTAACAGATCATAAACATCTACTTCAGATATTTAGCCCAGACAAAGGGATTTCTCAGACAACTGCAGCCCATCTTCAACACTATGCCCTGTTCTTGGGCGCATATAGCTACCGCATACAATATCGAAGCCATGATGCTAATGCCAATGCCGATGCAATGTCCCAGCTGACAGAATTGCTTCCAGATTCTTCTCCAGCTGTCAAGATTTGTAGGTACACCACCACACACCTACTGACTTCTGGAGAGATAGCAGCCCATCCGGTGAAGGATAATGTTCTGAAATCTGTGCTTTCGTTTACACAAACTGGCTGGCCAGCGACTATTACAGAAGATTACAAACCTTACTACTGGAAGCGAATGGAAATGGCTGTGAATGTCTTATGGGGAGAACAAGTGATCATTCCAAAAACCTTCCAGAGACATATCTTGGACTTGCTACATACGGGTTACACTGGTACCACATGGATGAAACAGAAAGCACAAGGCTACATGTGATGGCCTAACATAGATGCTGAGATAACAGCATATGTCAATGCTTGTATAGTATGTGCACAAACTGCAAGAGACCCTCCCCGAGGATCCTTGGTTTCGCCTTCACTTGGATTTTGCGGGTTCAATAAAAGGGCAAACCTTCTTGAATATAATTGACGCCCTCTTGAAATGGCCTGAGGTCTTTCCACTAACCGAGCCGACTGCAAAAGCCATGATTGCCATATAATTGCACCTTTTTGCCACATTTGGTTATCCCAGGGAGATTGTCACAGATAATGGGGCCCAATTCACGAGCCATGAATTTCAAAGTTTTGCTACTGTTAATAACTTCAAGCACACGTTAACTGCGCCTTACCCTTACCACCCAGCAACCAATGATCAAGCAGAACAGTTTGTGCAAACTTTCAAGAACTACTTCAAGGTCACAGCGGCTTCAACTAGACAGAGGTCCATATCTCCTCAGAAGTTAGACTCTTTTCTCTTTGCTTACAGAACAACACCACATGCTACAACTAGTACAACACCAGCTGGGCTTCTTCTAGGGCGACGGCCATGGACTGCTTTTGACATGCTTCATTCTAAAACTGTTCATGACCTTGTATTGCACTCCAAAAAAAAGATGGTAACCTCCAATGAGTCTCCCAGTTTTAGAATCCATCAAGAGGTCTGGACCCGATCTTATGATGGCTTCCTGCCACAATTGTGGAAACTTTGGGACCCAAGATGTACAGAGCTCTCCTGGAAGACAGTTTCATTACCAGATGACATGTCGACTAGACATGTGCAATTCGTTTCGGGCCGTATATGTATTTGGACGAATTTCAGGCAATTCGGACATTCGGGTACTTCCGAATGTCCGAATAGCCAAAGGGCCGAATTGCCGAATTACCGAGGTCCCGAAGTTCAGAAATTACAGAATTTCGGAAGTGCCGAAATGCCAAAGTTCCGAAGTGCTGAAGTTCCGAAGTTGCCGAAGTTCCGAAGCACAGTTTTGCCTGAGTACTAATATACTTACCCAGTGGAAGAAGAAGAATGTTACACTGTATACAATTTTAAATAAAAAGTATACAAACATAGCCAGGATTCAGCTGTAAGCATTTGCAACACTTACAACAATCAAGTAACATACATTCATATAAAATGTAAGTTACTTGGCCAGTCAATGTAATGACAGGAATGAATAAGTAGATAACTCCCTAATTCCCGCGGTATTAGGGAGCTATCTACTAAAAGGCTGAAAGACCTAAATTGGTTTTTCAGCCAAATTCACTAATACTAATTAAAGATTACTTAGTATTAGTTAAATACCCCTACTCGCTATACCATGTGTAGGGACATGTCTATTAAACAGTGTCTATTAGGTCCCCCCCAATTAGTATTTAGGGCCCCCACCAACCGATCAGGGGTGGGGGCCTGGGGAAGGACATTAGGTCCTCCCCCCTCATTCTAATTTAGGGCCCCCACCCACAGCTCAGGGGTGGGGGCCAGGAGGGAGGACATTAGGTCCCCCCAATTAGTATTTAGGGCCCCCACCCACCGCTCAGGGGTGGGGCCCGGGGGGGGGGGACATAAGGTCCCCACCCCATTCTGATTTAGGGTCCCCACCCACCGCTCAGGGGTGGGGGCTGAGGGGGAAGACAATAGGTCATATTGGTAGGAGAGCTGGGCCTACCTCACTTTACGCATTATTACCATGCAGCACAGATAGCACAGGTCCAACATCTCAATGCACCATATCAATCGTTGGGTAGACTTGGAGGACACCATTTTCGGCAGTGACTTCCCTTCACTCTACATTTGGCTACCTAAACTAGTCAGACCCCGACTCATCACCATCACCCCTGCTCTACTAAATTCTATTAAACTCACATACACACAACACACACACACACACATATACACTCATACACACATACACTCATACAAAAACATAGGAAGCATTAGTTGAAAATATTTGGGCTGTTCAAAATGACTCATCAGTTACAAGTATTTTCTGTAAGTGAGGCTGTAAATGTGTATTATAGTCCACTGCTTGTTCATCATGAACTCCTATGTACTTTCCAGACCATGATAATTGCAACTTTCTCAGCCAACCTCTTAAAACTGCTAGACTAACCTTTAACCCTATCTTTCATAACCCTAGCCTAACGATAGAATACATACACTCATACACACACATGCACTCACTCATACACACACACACATACACTTATACACACTCACAAATTATTACAATTATTATAAATAAACATTTTCCACCCAGCCTCCCTACCTGGAGAGCTGGCGTGGATCTGTCCATGGGGTCCAGTGGGGCTGCTGGGAGGCGTGCAGCTTTGTTAGAATCAGAAGCAGCTCTGATCTCCCTGCTTTACCTCGCGGGCTGCTTACTGCTGCCGGGAGCCGGAATGATGTCATATTCCGGCGCCCATGGCATTAGCAAACGGCGCATGAGGGAGCAGAGCAGGGAAATCACAGATCCCTCGCCACCTCTGATTCTAACACAGCCACACGCCTCCCAACAGCCCCACTGGACCCCAGGGACAGGGAGAACACCAGAGAAGCCCGAGTGGGCGTTTGGGGGCAGCATTTTTTGCCGCCCCCTGGTTAGTGCTGCCCAAGGCAAATGCCTAGTTTGCCTTGGGTTAAATACACCAGTGCTAGAACTGCAGCAATTATTATGCATAATTTCATGGCAGCACCCATTGCTCTGTTTTACAGCTTGGGCTGTAGTT